CCATCATTAAAATTTATTTTAATAATAATATGCACCTTTTCTAAAGAATTATAAAAGGAAGCTTCCTTTTGAAACAAAATTCACCATGCCGTTGCTTTGCATTTATTACTTTAATTATTAAAGTGATGATAAAATTAATTTGATCAATAATGAAGACTTCTTTCTAATATAGAAAAAATTATGTTTTTACTAAAATTAAAAAATGAAACGAAAAAACACATCCTTCAGCCTAATATAGACAATACAAGTTTATTATTGGCTAGAGTTATACAATAAATGTAATGAATGACCACTAAAACAACACTACTATCACTACTATTTCCTCTACTAATTTGAGATTGAATTCCGAATCGTGTAACCAACTTTTTTTATAAAAGGAGTATGGAAAATTCTTCTCATTATAAAATATCATCGAAAAACGAAAATATTACATTTTTAAGAAATTTTCAAATAAACAATCCACAACAAAAATCAATCCCAAAATATAAAAATGATTGTAAATGAGTCAATAATAATAGGTTCGATAAACATTGTTATGCGAGTAGTTATAGAGAATGCGGTGAAAACATCGAACCTCAAGCCTGAATCTCAAAATTTGGTGAAACATGTAGAAGATGTCTCTGGATATGTACAAAAACTGAAAAAAAAAGCACCTAAATCTTATGAGAAATTTCAAACAATTAAGAATAACATTATCAGCAATGACAAGTTAATTCAAAACAACAATCCTTTGCTAAACTTTATTTTATGCAAAATGGTAAGTTTATATATATCTGAAATTTGTATATTAATTCTTAGTGTTTTATTACGTGGTGTTACATTATTTCCTTTATTCTGTTTATCTAGAATAAAACAAAACGAGAAGGCACTCACGAGAGTTCTAACGGCTTTACCTTTAGAATTATTAGTTTATAAAACGGTAATGAAATTCAATTCAATCAATAATTATTTTTACCAGCGACTTGGGCTATTATTACAATAGTATCATTCTAACTTTCCAGCTTTTTTTTTTTCAGAAACCTAATATTTTGGTTATTGCGGAAAATATAATTAGGTTTTTGTATAAGAAATTCAAAAAAATTTTTGGAACTAGTCGAAAATTCACGATTAGCAAAGAAAAAAACTACATTTATATCGATGTATGTTAAATTCACATCATGAATATATAAATAAACCAAAGATAGATGCATATTATGCATATAGATTTTTATTTAAATGGTAAACACACAAAATCGACAAGTCTTTTCCTAATCAAAAACTTCACTATCTGCCCCACTAATTGCAATCACAAGTAATATTTGCAAAGTAGAAAGTTGAATACGATTTCTAATTCTAGTTTTGATTAAATTTTTTGTTGTGAAACAATGCCTTCAACTACAGCATTAGAAAAGGAAATATTTAAAAATATACATACGAGTTTTGAAATATTAGGATAAAAATCGAGCAATTTTTTTTTATAAAAAAAAAAGAACAGAACAACGCATTGTACTGCTGTATGTTCAAATTTATATGCGTATCCTGTGCATATTTAAGCTTTATTTAAAATCTTTAATGTAAATGTGTGCAGGAATATTTTGATTATATCTGCACATTCCAAACAATGCATGTACTTGTGCAAACTAACTTTAAATACTGCAAACACGCGGTTCATATCTACTAAGGACGGATAGCGGAGTAAATAAATTAAATCAACAAAATGCATACCTATGTTAAGTAAAGGTTGGAATTCTTAGTCGACTACTAATTGGTCAAAATTTCTTTAGTCGACTTAACTTTTTTTTTTTAATAATAGATAATAATATTTCATTTTGTTTTTTAATTTGCAAATTACGAATTCATTTCCATTTGAATCTTTCACTTTTTCAAAACACATCCACACAAAACCATGTGTTACGATTCGTTTTTTAAAGGTCTTCTGGAACCACCGCTTAAATCATTGGAACTTGAAGCCAATGAACTATTGGACATTGTGTCGGAAGTGTTTATTAGTTTATATGTAAAATTATCATCAACAACACCACCATTGTCGTCATCATCATATTGATTGTATTGACACTCTTCCGCATAGAAATTTTCCATTTTGGATGATAAAACACAAAAATCGTCAGACAATAATAATATTAGCATAGTATTAATATTAGCATTAATATTAGTATTAGTAGTATTAGTAGTATTAGTATTCGACTATTAATTGTTCAAAAAAAAGTTTAGTCGACTATTTTAGTCGATTCCAACCTCTACTGATAAGGGTAATACAGAAAACATGTAATGTATGAACCTCT